TGCATTTATGCTTAAGTAGCTTTTTAAAAGTTTTAATAGATTTTCCACGGCAATAAAAAAAATACACATTCTCTATTCATTACCTATGTAATTAATTGTGCTTTTCTTTTGTGGTCTGTGACTAGAATAATAATACACACTTGTAATTGGTTTTTTAATATATTAGTTTAATATTTATTATCGAGTAGTCCATATATTATAAAGAAACTTTAATCTCTTATACCTATTTAATAAAATATTTATTTTATATTGTTATTTTTCTCAATTTTTTTGTCTACACAAAATATATGTACAATGCTTCTTATAATTTGTATTGTGTATTAATTTTATTCATATAAAACGCATGAAGTATGTATTTAAAATTAATTATTTAGACTTGTTTTCATCTGATTGGGTAAGTGATTATTGATTCAATTAATTACTTGCTTTGTTCTTGCAGCTTGATAATATTGACAAGCTTCGTTTATTTTATTTTTCAAAGTAAATTTTGAACATTGAAATTAAATAATAATCAATGATTAATTGAATAATGAATCTGATTTTAAAGTATTACTTCAGCAGTATTATTACACAATAGTATATTTTAACATTGAAATCTAGAATATCTACTTAAATAAAAACTTAAAATATTTGTTCAGTTTTTTTTTTTTTAATTTTTAGGCTTGCTATTATTTATTATTACATTTTTGATTAACTTTGATTGCTTAAATCTGAAGAAACCTTTTATAATATTAACAAATTATTTTAATTTTACTTGTATATCCAGCTATTAAAACCTATAAATAATATTATRTTTTAGAAACTTAACAGAACTTAACTTTAACCTTTTATTTAAATACTAAACATTATATTAATTTAACTTCAAAGGCAGAGGCACAATTAATTATAGTTAAATTAATCTACAACTAATTAATCATATATGAATATGAGTGGTTAACACTTATAAAAAAATATTGCTAACGATTGATTCCATTTTAAGAAATAAATTGTTTGATATTTTATTGGAGTGTGTGGTGTTTTTCTTTGTTTAATTATCCAACTTTTTTCAAAATGCAGAATATTTCTTGTTTTGTTTTTGTTTTTCATTTTTAATTGGCATGCTTTTTATATTCTATTTGGAAGTACTGCCACGGACTTCAGGTGAGGGCGATCAAGACGTGAAAAATGGTTTACATCAGCCAGCTACAGTGGTAACGGATTTTAATAAAGATGCACAAACGATAGACCATCATTTGTTACACTTATTTGGAGGCCAAATTAATTGCTATCAAAATCCTTATAACGGATTTTCACAACCAATGAGTTTGCATTTTTTAACACCAAATGGTAACTTGTTATTTACTATAATTACATTCATTCTAAGTATATTAATATTGCTAAACTCATTTATTTTTCTGTAAAATTTGTTGTAGGTAGTTGATAGGCATATTTTCAAAATGTTAATTAGAATCAAGCTTATATTTTTAGTACTCAAAATTAAAAACACCATCATATGTTTAAATCAGTAATGAAATTAAATAGATAAAACTTRACACATTAAATTTCAATATTTATTATTGTTCAACCATTTTAATTTTGAAAGTATATTTTATGGAATCTTTCTATTTTGTTTGATTGAGATTTTAGAATTATAGGTGTTTTAAATTTTAATAGATATTTGTTGGATTTAATCAGTATTAAAATGAAAATCAGATTTTATATTTAATAATCTATTTTTTAATTGGATGATTAAGGTAAATTAAACCAAATAAAATCACACAACCTTTACTCTTCAGCTAGGACACTGTCCAGCAATCATTCTCTAAGATACTCAAATTTCATTTACTCCAACAGTAAAATATCTTGACTTAATCTTAGACTGTAGACTCACCTGGACCCAACATACGCGTATAAAAAGACTTCAACTTAACCTGCGACTTTGTATGCTTAAAATTTTACTAGTTAATAACAAACTCACAAATGATATATCCGTATATGTAATATATGTACATATATTATATTATCAATGATTATAATATCTTATATCAGTAGTATCATTGAATAGTTTCTTATGGCATTTTTAACTGAAACAACGAAACAAGAAAACTATAAAACCTCTTACAGACTATAGCGGTAGCAGTAAAAAGCAGTTGTACACAATTTTCACATCTGCATGTGTTGTTTCCGTCTTATAAGTGCGTAACATAGCAAATTTTACTCTCAGCAGTTCCAATTGAACTCTGTTGGTTTAAAATTTAGAGTGAATTGACCTCTCATAAAAATTAAAGGTAACATTATTATCTATATTAT